TGGGGATGAAGGGTACTCATTAATCGCGTTAATCGTTCCGTTGGGCTTATGAACTCAGTCCATAACCTTCTAGGCAGACGCACAACGACTGATGATATGAACAGGGAAGGACCGCCGACAAAGACAGGGGGGGTCGAATGGCCACTTCTGGCTTGTTAGCAATCATCGGTCAGTCATACTCGACCCCAGGTTTTCAATTCCTAGGAATTTAACTAGCTTTTTTGGCCAGAAGTCCAACGTTCAAACCACTAAGCCAGGGGCTCCTTGTCCTGTCGGTTGTGATCGGATATATGAACTGTAGTAGAGAGCAATTCCTGATAGCGTTACGGAAACTTCTAGACCCATTGAGCTTAGGGGCTCAATCATGAACCTCAGGGGTTGCAAACCCGGGGTTTGGTATGGCTGACTAATAACGCCTAATAAGTCAAAAACGATCAATTATCATTATATTTGCCGAAAAGGAGGTTCCACTGTCATTTTTAACGCGGCAGACTACGTAGAAAAAGTGATGTTAATGTTAGGGAACAACTTAACAAACTCTCCTCTAACTTACGACCCTGCAGATCCACAGGACTCGCATGTCGAAAAAGCACTGAAATGTTTGGTGAATAGAAAGATAATTTTAGAGTTCCTGTCGAATCCTTCAAATACTATGAAACAACTGTGGCCAATGTGTATGGAATATATTTGGCATTCCAATATGACCTAGGTCTTTTTAAGCTGCGCATTAAATCACAAGTTTTTAGTGGCTATTTTGTGAAATCTATCCGCTTGCGCGAAACTCCAAAACTTCTTTCAAGGGTCAGAACAATTCGTAGACACGCTGAAAGTATTCGAACTTGAGGATGACGAGATCATGGCGTCATCGGATGTTATCTTTCTATTTACTTCTATTTCTCTGAATTTGGGAGACACTCAAATGATGACCTCCTGTAAACATACACTACCAATCTGCCTGCGAACCCCTTACTTGGACTCCCTGATTCTTGTTTAGACGGGAAGTTTTCTTTAGTCATGCAACACTATCAACAACTAACAGACGCCCCTTTGATTTAACCAATACCTGACTTTTTGGCGGTGAGCATAAGGCAGCATTTGGAAACAACAGTTCCCCCCAAAGTAAATCCGAAATTGTGACTGTGCTAAGCAGATCATACATTAAAAACATCAACAAAGAATGCTCCACGATATCTTTAATTCCAAATTTCTGGGGATTCAGTTTGTTCTCGAAATGTGTGCAGGTAAATGGACAACGCCCATTCATGGATGTCTTCATACACCGACAGACTTCTGGGAGGCTGCGTGCTCCGGGTTATCATTAAGATATTTACTCAAAAGTCGTCCTCCTGTATGACAGCAACGGTCTTATTACCTTTAAACGTAGCTTTATTGTCTTATTCGCGTCCAAGCCCACTGCTAGATGAGGGGATTCATCGGACAGAAACAACATAACGTTTTAAACTCGTTTTCTGAAGTAGGTACCCTCTTGACCTTGTTTACCGATGCATGCAGCGACAAGAGTCCAAGGAATAGGTGTTCTCAAAACTATAACCATCCAGGCGTCAAAAGCAATCGGTTTGCCAACTCTCACTCATGTGAAGAATATATCCGGCGTCATTGAAAGACAGCTGAACCACACTAGATAAAGGCAGCACACACACACACAGCTACTTTGTGGACGCAGCTTGCATACGCAAAGGACAGGGTTGACTATTTTAAAATAAGAAAAACTATTTACCAAATCCTATGTTTTTGATGCAGTCTATTTTAGTCACCCGAGTAGAGCTCTCACTCCTCGTATACACGAGCACCTACTAGCGTTTAAGGAACAATATCACTTTTCCCAAGTAGGTATTCACATCCCGAATACGAGACACAGATTTGCATGGGAGAAAACCCGCATCATTGGCGCCTGCCCAACAAAAAAGGGCCGTGAGTCCGTGGAAACAATGATGTCGGACGAGGCATGTATTTTTAGGCATGTAAATCTAGATTCCGCATACAAATTCAAGATGGACGAGTGCAGACGAAACAGAAAATACAGACCAGACAAATGAACGCAATGGACGCCTACTGGCACGAAGTTTAATCAACCTTAAACTATTTTGTTAGGCACATTTAAAGGTTACTTGTTTTTGTACCTACCTATTCGTCTGACGAGGGGTTGGCGGACCAGATGCGTTCTCAGTGAACTAGGTTTATTTCTAAACATATTTATTCGGACGTCCATGTATGGTCGAGACTTCGCTACCTATTGGCCGACTGGGCCTATTTGTTTTTGGACGGCAGAACGAAATTCTTAGACCCCAAGCTGTTTTTCTTTTCGCAAGGAAACGTCCTCGATCGTTTTTTACAGTTTTTACAAGATTCCACCGGCCCAAAGGGTCCATTAAGTAGACTCGGTCTTTACAGCCATGGACAAAGGATTTAGTATCAAACTCACTGAGCCCTCCTTGGGTACAAATGTCCTCTTCGCCACTTTCTCCGTCCAACACCTCTACTTCTAATAGTGGAAAGAAGCATATGAATTTAAACCCTGGTGACTGAGACTTTTGTCATACAATGACCCTCATTCTAACATAATTCCGGATAATGTTGGATTTGTGGCAGCTAAGGTAGTTAGCATGCCACCACCACGATCTGAGGGCTCGGTCCCGGTAAGAAGGTTGCCAGATGTTTGCGTCAACCGACCAAAGTCAGACGCCACTGATGAGCTCATGAATGCGCATTCTACTATTACCAACGGTGGAAAGTCGATGGTCCCATTGACTAGCCGAACTTACTGATGCAACATTTGACCGGAGCGGTGATTTGGCGATTTATGCAGTAATATAAGGATGCCAGGTATAAGCAGAAAGTTGAGATAAAACCTACAGGCTCTCTCACAGAAAAATAAATGTTTATTTGCCCAAAAAGGTCAAAGAACTCCAGCCGGCGGAAAACGCTCAGGATTTAGGGGCGTCTCAAGCATAAAGGAGGATCGTCAGGTAACGTACCGAAGCACGGGCGAATGATAAACGAAGACTCGATATGAAAATCAACTAGTTGAAATAATCTGTGAATGGCGCATAAAGTAATTCGAACTATAGTCGCAAACACAGAGAGCAAAATTCTTTACAACTCCCAAGGATCAGTGATGAGACCAATAGGGAGTCGGTACAGAAATGGCTCTATAACTAGCCAAGTTATTCGCGAAGGTCTTGTGAATGACCAAAGATGAATCTCCACTTTTGTGTTGTGAATTTAGTAATTGCACCGGCAAGGAGTCAACGGCAATTCCTCTACTAGGACCAATTGCCAGCTGGATCTTGAACACTCATACACACTCGGGCTCATTGTCCTATTTTGTCTACTTCCATCTACAGCCTAGTCAAAGCCAGAGTTTCACCCGGCGATGGGTAATTTTCAATCTTCTCGGGCAAAGGGCAGTTACGCCATTCCCAGGACCAAACGCAGACCGTCCATCACACCCTTCTAGTCGGGCTGGGATTTCAATTCATAAGTGACTGCTCAAGAGCCCAGACATTAGAGAAAGACCCAAGCTGCAAGTGCCGCTCAAACAAGAAAGATAGCGCCATCGAGGCCAGAAGGGTACTCCGCTCTGTTAGAATGTGGCTAAGGACCCAATTTAGTCTCTACATCTTTGGCCTGTGGGTTAATATACAGGTCCGCCCGTCACAAACGGTGACGTCCACAGTAAGACCTTCGGAGTGGACGCAGCACTGGTGAATTGCACGTGAACTAGTTTATACTGGAACAGACATGTGAAGCATCTAACATACACTTTCTTGGTAGAGAGGGGTGCTCACCGATCTTTTCTACGGAACTCACTCGTCCCGTTGTGCCTTACAGGCTCTCTATCGAGCCCAACCAGCAGCCGCACAGCGGCGCATGCTATAGGCAGAATAGTCGTACCGAACAAAAATAATGGCAAGACAACGTCAGGATGACCAGCAATAGGCACGGGCACAGTGATTGACAAAACTAAACAGACCGTCTTCCCGCGTACCGGACTACTTGCTGATCAGATAATCACCTAAAATTCAACCACTAAGTTAGATTCCCGCGAATTGTGCAAAGGAGTGTAAGTGGAACAAATTGACGACACGATGATCGTTGGACATTACCTCACTCTTGGTTGCATTCGAATGTCCGAACAAGTCAATTTGGACAGCGAAAACTGTGAAGTTTGTATGTGCAAACGGGATCATTCGAAAGAGCCCAACTGTCAGTGCTTCAGTCATTGCAAGCGAGCCCTATCGTAATGACCCCCAGTAGTACCAGGTACCCGAAAGACTGTCCGCGTCGCCTTCTTAGACCTGACTTGGTAGCCAGATTCTGGAAGAGGCGCGAGAAGTCAGTCACTTTCCGTTCTTGTCAAATTCTTCCCAGACCATGCTAGCATGTGCTTTATCAGCACAATATACAAACCCAGGTAGGTGAATTTGTCCACGACTTGCAGTTGGGCGCCGTTCACGTTGATGTGATGTGCAGTGCAGGCAGCGTGGAGTGGCGGTTGGTACATAACCGCCGTCTTCTCCGTATTGATGACCAGGCCGAAGTTGTCATATGCGGCGACGAAGAGATACATACTCCATATTGCATGTCTCATTCGGAGGAGGCGCTGAGGGCGCAGTCGTTCGCTAAGGGAAGTTCATGAACGGCAGTTGTAGATACACACGACTGGAAGTGCTTCCACCGGTGGTTGAGGAGTTGGCCGTCTGTCATATAGGCGACGCGGATCCCGGCGTGTTCGTCATGGTATGCGTCTATCAGCATGGCAAGAAACAGGAGATTGAAGATAGCAGGCTCAAGGACGTAGCTCTGCTGCTCTCCCTCGGTCATTTCATGTGCCTCTGAGACAACACCATTGCCCTTGACGCGTGCCGTCATGTCATCGTGAAACGCTCGCGACAGCCGAATTTCTGTTTGATTTTCTACACTCATTCGCAATCCACCGTGTCAAAGGTTTTCGTCAGATCTACGATTGTAGGGTAGAGATGGATCCGCATCTCCTTACACTTCTCCTCCAGTTGATGAGCGACGAAGATCATGTCGATGGTCCCGTGATGACGGCGGAAGCTGCACCGACTTTCCGACAGGAGACTCTGTTCCAGATGGTTCTTGAGACGGTCGAGGAGGATGCAGACGAAGACCTTTTCAGCAATGTTGATCAACGAGATGCCTCGGTGGTTGTCCCAGATTTGGCGGTGATCTTTCAGCATAGAGAGATGGACGGTTGTGGTGTCCTTAAAATCATGCGGGACTTCTCCTCGACGCCACATCTCATGGAGGAGTGCCATCAGATGATCCATGAGTTGAGGGCCACCGTGCTTATAGATCTCAGCTGGACTCGCATCTGATCCAAGCGCTTTCCCGCTGGAGAGCTGTTGCATGGCTTTGATGGTTTAATAGATAGAGGGCGGGAGGTCGATATCGGCATTGGTTTCCGCTTGAGGCAGACGGGCGATTCTGGCGTCGGAGATGTTGGAGGGACGGTTGATGAAGCTTCTGAAGTGCTCGGTCCATTACTGTGAAATCTGTGTCTTCTCAGTGAGTAGGATACTTCTGTCGGCGCTGAGAAGAGGAGCGCTTCCTTTGGTTGGCGGACCGTAAACTGCCTTGATCGCGGAGAAGAAGTTCCTCCATTCATTGCTGTCCGCGTATTCTTGGATCTCCTCGGCCTTGCAAGTCGTCCGAGCGTCCTGCAGCTCACGCACCCGCTGTTGCAAAAGGCGGTAGAAGGTCATCTTGTTGACGTAGGCATGGTGCAGACGGTACTTGACGGCGAGCAGTTTGATTATGGCAGCGTCAATGTCGTCGAGCCATTCCTGATTTGGCGACTTGCGCCACCGAGGGCAGCAAGGGCCGTCGACTGGGCTGCATCCCGCGGTTGGAACCATCAGTTCTTCACCGAAACGGTCTCGTCAGCGACAGCGACGACTGAAATGTTGGCTAGAGTCTGAGCTAGTTCATTGCTGAAATGGTGGTAGTGAGGGGACACATCCAACAAAACAGTCTCCAGCGAGGCTGCAGACGAATCCACATTTTGGGGATAACGAGACTACGGTCAGTCAACCCGTCCGCAACCGGGATCACCTTTGTCACCACCACGTCCCGCATATCTCGTCTCCGAACGAGGACTTTGTCCAGCAGGGACCAATGCCGAGACCGAGCGGGCATCCAGGTGGCCTTCCCTTGCATGGGGAGGCCGAAGTAGATGTTGGTCAGGATGAGGCAGTGTTCTGTTCAGGTTCGTATGAGAAGTGGGCCACTGTCATTGAAGTCGTCGAGATCATGTGGACCCAGCACTCCCCCCAGGCAGCATGGCCTGTGCCGACGCGGGAGTTGGAGTCACCAAGGACAATAAGCTTAAAAGCTTTCGACACAATCGCCAGGAGGGCGTGCCCTTTCTCGTAGGATTTGCCCGTTGCAGCGTCAGGTTTGATCATCAGGGGAACGTTGATGCTGGTGATGGTGGCGAATTTGCCCCCCGGTGGGGCAGCGGAGGCTCATCCGAGGTCTTTGATGTCCTTAGACAGACAGAGCAAGCGTCCCACTATGTCGATTTGGATGGCACAGTCGACGTCCGCGTCACGTCGCTCTGACTGTGGACGACTGCTCCAGGAGAAAATGTAGCCGGCGCTTACCTCTTCCAGATAACCTTGTTTGCAGAAAAGGGGCTCTTTGAGTGCAGCAATGTCCACCTTGTAATGCGCCAGTTTCCGAGCCACTAGCGTCATCCTCCGTTCCGGTCGGTCGCTCCTCGGATTGTCCAAAAGGGAACGAACATTCCAGGCTGCCAGTGTGAGCGGACTCACCCTACCAGTCTGAGGAGTGGGCCGGTGGTGGGGAGAAGAAGAAGAAAATGCAGAATGAGAAAGAGAGAGATGGTTGTTGTTTCAGTTGTGGTTGTTTGAACCGTGTTTTTGTCTGCAGCCACGGTCAGCCTACAGACAGCGTAGCTACTAACAATTCTTTGGCACCTTTCTAGCCCCATCCCCTTGCGGGGCAGGCTTAACCTACCAGTCTGGCTAGTGGGGCGGCGGGGGAAGAGAGAGGGAGAGAGCATTGCTTCGTGAAACCCTAGTGTTTGTGTTTGGGACACCAGGTCATGCATGTTTCCTGCGCAGGATAGGTCACTAGAGGTGTCAACCACCACGCCCATCCATCGCACCTGTCAACTGATAGGCTCGAGCAATAGCTGGGGTCTGGGAATGGGAAGGGAGAGTGGGATCGACGACTCAGCGCATTTTCCTCACTAAAAACAATTTGGCGGGCTTGGAGCTGTCACGGTGCTCTAAAAGTTGTGGCTTGGAATGTTGCCAATTTACGGGATAACTTGAACTTCGCAGTCGGTCGAGTGTTGTTTGTTTGTGTGTGGGGTGGCCAGCTGGTGGTCTGAGAGTCAGGATGCAACGTCTCCTTCTTAATGCGGCCTTTATGGCGCTGACATCCGTGGAATCCAATTCAGGTGTGACGGCACGCCTAAGTGCGACTTCGCTCGCGCCAGCCACCTGTGTCCTCTCCCACCCCCCGGCCATCTTGACCGTGCTTTTACACCGGATCTAGGTGGGGGAGGAGGAAAGAGTGCGGTAGGTACTTCGCAAGTCTACGTTCACTTCGAACTTAATCACGCGCAAGTTACCGTGCTTGCTTCGACTTGTTGTGGAGCACACGTGGACACCGTCGGTTACGACTTGAATTGTCGGGGGTTTGTGTGTGTGCGTTTGTGTGGAGAGAAGCACTACCATGTGAAATCGATCGCTGTGAACGTTCTTGTACGTACCAACTCATACGAATCTGTCAAAAATGTGAATGTCTCCAGCCAGTCATTCAGGTTGACGCCGTTTGCAATTTACACGGATTTTTGATCTCTATGAGGCGCACTGTGCTCGTCTGATTTTTCACATGTGCATCCCAATGCATGGCCAGTGATAACAGAGGAAAAGAATCAATTCTAACGCCGGGTTTACTTGAAGACCATTTAGTCGTTCCCTGCTTTTGAGGTTGTTGCGAACAGTTTTAGTGGCCATTTCTGTGGGTTTGGCGGTTACTTGGATTTATTTTCGACAGACGGCTTTGAATTACCTCTCAGGCTGCTTTGGTGGACTTTCTTATTTATACGGTGCCTGAGGTGTCCACAGCCGTTAATGAGTGCGCATCAGACATCATCAGTGCTTATTATTGTTAATCCGTAAGTTGTGGCAATCCTCTTTAAGCAATGCGCGTTATTTGGACAGCCATGTGACATTTTGACCGTTGTGTTCCACGGAGTGAACGCAGCACCGGTGACTTGAGTGTGAATAGGTTTGCAGTGAAACAGACTTGCGCAGCATATACTGCCTCATCTCCTCCACCAGTTACCAATGGCAAGACAGTGTTAAGACGGCCGAAGGTTGGTACGAACGCAGTCGCTGACAAAGCTAAACAGCTCGTCTGCGTGCGCCTCCTCGCACAACCTGTTCTCCGCAGAATGTACCCGGTTTTCGCAGAAGGGGCGGGCGGGCGGGCGGAGGTCTGGATCTCCCGTTCATGAGAATGCCATAGACACCTCGTTAAGGTAGAGCCATTGAGCCAGACTTCCAGTCTTCGAGCTAGTCACCCAGTAAACGCGTTGCATGAATGTTGAAAGTACATTTGTGTACAACTGGTCATTGGACTTCATGCACAGGCGACTGGTCCACGCTTCCGTGCAGTGTCTTTGGTCAAAGGTGACTTGTCTTAGCTTACCGCCGACAGCCTCTGAGAAATATCTGACAAGATCAATGAGTTTATATTTTTAGTGCTCGCAGGATTTGTGGTTCATCGACAAAGACAGTTGTTTCTGGAGCGGTAAAGGTGTTTCTAGGGAGGAAAATATAGTGCACTCCCTCAGCCTCTGGGATAATGTGGTGGGACAACTTCCAGATACAACTGAATTTCTGCTTTTTCCTTCTTGAGGTGTTTCAAGTATTCATCTAATTCCTTAAAGTACTTCACATCTTTCGCATTGCAGTTTGCTATGGAACAACCGCTCCACCTTCCCCATTGGTCCACTTTGACGACCTAACAAATGATCGCGAAATTTAGAGGGAAGGCCTCACAAACAGCACAGGCTCCTCAGCGCCTTCATGTTTTTAGCGTCCAAGGGGTTTAGTAGGATGTTCTAGTACTCCCTTCCTTTGTTTCCGTAGGCCAGTGTAGGCTTTTGATTTTGCTACAACAGTAATGTACTAAATCGTAGTGAAAGTTACCAATCACGAACGGGCACATTCTACAGTTCCCTTCTCCTTGGGGACCTGGATGATTCCACTGAGCCTAATATCACCGGCTATCCCTGGGTGTGTACTCTGGTGCTATACGCTCTCCATCCTGAAGTCTAGGCTCATAGATGTGATAATCTCATTTCCACCTTAACAGGTGGGGTTTTGTGACCGCTAGGCTAGCGAAGGCCAACTTTTTAGTCCACCGTGTTTACCTGCCCTGGCGCCTTCTTGATATCCTTTGTGCTCAGCAGAAGTAAACTGTCCCCAGGTTGACTCCGGGGTAATCCCTTCTTTGACCTCGTAGCTCGTCAGGTCATCCTGTCGAATTTCTCCTGGATGACTCGGCCATGAGCTTAAAGATTCATCAGCTTCCTGCTTCATTAGGCTAATATTGCGACTGTAACTGTCCAAGACGGTAGCTAATAACAGTATTAAAATATCCGCAGAAGAAAAATTAGGACTGGCAAGATGCTGAACTGCTTTTGGACGATTAGTTGTGCGCCTTTAGGACTACAATGACTGACCAGTTCTGTCCATTCCTCTAGATTATGGCTTGGGGCATGTTTGCAGGAGAATTCGGTGGGGCTCGGAAACGCTATCCTGCTTGGTCCACAAACTGTCACTTTTATACTATTATCAGTTTCAGTAGGTAGTCAAGGTTTATCACTTTTGTACTATTACTGATTTCAGTAGGCGTAGTATTACTTGTGGATACTTTCAATTTGAGGTATTTCGTAGACTGCTGCGATTATGATTCACAATAATGTTAGGGTTCAGGTTTTACGCTTAAAATTTAGAGTTAAGGTTTAGGGTTTAATGTTAGCGTTTATAGTTAGGGAGTCATCCGACACCCACTTCCTACAGCTTCCGTCTGATCAGTCGCATTTTCGGGCAGTTCAGTTTCAACGACCTTGACGGACCAATTATCTTTGTTCTTCGTGGAGTTGGTTTTATTGGGTACCTGCGGTAAATTTTTGTATTGCGCCGCGCTTGCGCTGGAATTTAATACCCACTAAAAAAACTAACATATTAACCTATTCCATCTGTTTTTCCTTAGTTTTCGATCATTCTTCACTGTTTTCCCACAGTTCCACCCAAAAGCCCCTTTTGTCACGGCTCCCACATTATATGCGCTTGGGTTTCTCCATGTTAAGCTGGACCGCGTTTCCGAGCCTTGCCGAGTATTCTTATTGGCGTTATCTGTTAAGCAAAAATCGAGAGAAATGTTTTTGGTTACAATGCCTTTCGGCTGTCTATACCTGCCCGTACTCCAGCTTTGCTTTTTGATTGCCTTTATGGAAGCCGTTTTAAGCATAAGTGTACAGACTCTCCTGTCTGTTTGGAGCCCGTCAGCCAATGCAAACGCGTCATATAGATATTACAGCCAAATCGGCTGGACCTAGTCGGGGTTAAACACCAGAACCTTTATGCCACGTCCGCCGATGCGTCCAATCTTATCTCTAATTAGTCCAATTCAGACTTACCATCGGCATGCGATGATAGAGGAGCCAGAGTGAGACTTCTTCCAACTCAACTGCAATAAATCTGACCAGCCCTCAAACACTAATTATGAGTCCTCTACACGCTGACTCCGTCATACGGGCGGCGTGAGAACATGGAGTCCGATTAACTCTGCCCCCGAGACACATTTATACCCTGTGGACAATTAGACTGATCATTCCCCTTGTAAATGTACAGGCCTGATGAGAATTTACCGAACACAATGTTAGTCAATTGAATTTTATAATATTTCCGCTAAAATTGTATAATTCAGTGCTCATCCCTAGTGAAGGCCAGAAGTTAAAGGCTCCTTATAGTATTTCAAGCGGATGTAAATAAAGTTTGGTTTGCGTAGAGTGAGAAAATGACGTGTGCGTATGTATATGTCGTCCGGGTCAAAAGGTCTGAAAGCCTGTGATATGAGAGTATCAGCAAACCATGGCCCTCACAGCCTGGTATGCGCTGACAGTTCCCTAACACCTGGTTGCCAGCTGGTAGATGAGCTTGCGTTCCCTCTGGGTATACAGTTGGTGGGCATAATTACCAGGTCTTCCTTGTCTTTCTGACCCCTGTTGGGGTGTTGTTGTTAGTGTTAATGAAAAATCCTGGTCGAGTGTGTGTTTCGGGCCAGGAGATGTGGTGGCACGCCTAGGTGCGGCCCCGGCCGTGCCAGCCACCTGTGCCCTCCCTCGTCTCCGGTTTCCCTGACTCTGTCTTGACACCGGGTCCAGGTGGGAGGTCGGAAAGTGGGAGTGTGATAGGTGCTGCGCAAGCTTACGACCATTGTAAACTAATTCACGCGCAAGTCACCGTCCTGTTGCACCTTGGTGTGTTGCACGCGATGGACCTCGTCGCAATCGACGGTCGAACTGCCATGTTGTCCGAGGAGAACATGCAAAGGAGCATGGACCTCACCGCCTCCAGATGCACTGATTTCGGATTGATAATCAACACGGACAAAACATGACTTATGCACCAACCGTCACCCAACACGGAATACAACATTTCTCGAATCAGTGTTAACAACAGTCAACTTAAATCCATGGACAACTTTGCTGATCCAGGAAGCATACTCACCCGCAGCACACAAATCAACGACGAGGTTGCCCGTCGGATCTTCAAAGTCCGCTAAGCCTTCGGCCGACTGCAAATCTCGTCACAGCCTTCAAATGAATAATAGCGAACATACCACGCGCCGATCGGGTTTATCGGTCAGCTTCAGACCCAATGCACCAATCGCCCGAAGACCACAACTGCTGCCTCCATGACCGTCCCTGCTCCAACCCCCACGTCGACCACGACCGCGCCCACCCTCACCACCGTTGCTCCGAATCCCCATGCCTCAGCGCCGTCGATTACCGAAACCTCTTTCATCTCCGTCACAGTCGTCGGGGCGGCGGCGGCGGCGGCGGCGGCGACGACGACGAACACAACCAACTTTATTACCCTCGCCATCGGCCGAAACTCTCCTGGCGTCCCGTCAACCACCACCACCTCCAGCAATGTGGACTCGGTTCCAACCTGTCTTCGTTGCGACCGCACGTTTGCCTCACACACCGGCCTGGTCGATGGCTTGCAAATCCATCGCACAGAGACTGGTTAACCAGTGCCTGGAGCACCAAACTTCACTCGCCGCATATGCCTCCACCGTCTGCCTTATCTACGCCCATTGTGTTTTGGTGAGATTGGATGATTGACGTTAATGTCAATCAGTTATCTGGTGTTTTTAGCTGGCATAAACAAATTATTCCGCATGTTCTCATTTGAACATACATACAAGTATAATTAAAATGTGTTGTTTTTTGGTTCGAAGTCCCATCTCGATCTGGTAGGCTGGACAAATCCAGCTCATAAATTTCTTTGCTTCTTGATACATTTTGACTTGGTCACGACACAGTTGTCTTTATGCTCGGGGTTCCATCAATGTCTTCCACAGTTAACAACAGCTGCTGTAATGCCATCCAGCACCACATGATCATAAATCTCGTTGCCCGAGTGTCTATTGGAGAAAAAACTCATCACATGGGGATATAATTTTCACGTTTAATTCGATTAAGACAATGCGCTGTAGACCAATCTACTAAAAACGTCAGACAACTAGTAAGTTACTTCTGATATTCCGCCACTTTCCCCCATCCGGAAGGGATATAAATAGAAAGTAGGCGTCTCACAAAACTAGCGGGAAGTCATTTCTAGTGAATACTTCTGGGACTCTATTTGAGGCTGGAAAGAGCATACTTTAAGTACCGACGGCAGGAAAGAAAAGGCTCTTAGTCAGGGTCCCATTTCAAGGGGCTGGACCAAGTGAACTTTTAAGAAGACGCCTAACTCAAGCTGTATCACTGACCTTTCCAGCAGCTGACACCCGTGTACTGTTCTTCATCAGTCCCATCCTATGCGGGGAGGGCAGGAACAAACTACCAGCTCAGACCACCTCTATGTGTATTTACTCCTTCACCAGCTCCTGTTGGGCAGCATACAGTGGTCGCACGAGCCGGCATTTAGCCAAAAAAATATAAGAACATTTTCCAGCATAGTTAGGAAAGGGTCAAATAAAGAACATCAACAGCTCGACCTCCGCGCACAGACCACCGTGTAGACGCCGGAGAGGCCTTCAGAACGATTTGCAAGGTCCCGTCAAGCTATCTAAAACTACTTGGGCGACGCCTGTTGGCTACGGCAGAGGCGGCTGTAATCAGGCTACGCGGACCGGTCCTATGCGCACAGAAGAACTTCATACAGATCCCACAGTTGCCATGACTCAAAGCCACTAAGCCAGCTACCCGCATGTAATTACCTTCGCTGGGACCCACCTTCGCCCTGGCGCTGACTGGAATTGGGATGTTTCACTATCCCTCTCCCCCCTCCCCTCACCTACTCGAACCCGAGCTACAGCATAATTATCTACTTGCCCGTATCTGTTAATTCATTACCTCAATAGCCACATAACTGTACAGGCCTGAAGAGGATTTATCAAAAGCAGACGTATGCTCGCCAAATCGCCTCTTGGACTTTAAGAAGTAACTCAATTCTCCACCACGTCTTTAGTACATTTGTTGAAGATACTCTATGCGAAAATTGACTGAATTTCCAGTGTCGCTGAATATGACGATTTCGATTTTATGGATACCAGACTTCAGCTCTCTTCGCATAAACCAACCAATTTGATATTTAAAGGGTTAGGACAATTTTAAAATCAGATCCTTGTCGCCAAACACCTAGCCAGTAAGTCCCATGTCCAACAGAGACTGTCTGTGAGCACAACTCATGCTACCGAGTCAAGCCCCGCCTAGCTCGTGCCCAACGAATATACGCAAAGCCCTACATTTTAAACTGGCGGACATTCAGATACACATAATAATCACCTGTCTCAGCCTAGACATCTAAACGTGATTCGGTCATATGAGAAATCATGACACTCAATGCGCCTACTTTCACAAGGCTGGAATTATATTCACGAGTTCCCTTGTTATGTACACCGTTTGTTCACCTTGGTCTCAGCAGGCAGATAAATAACGGTGATGCTGCAGATACTACTGCACGGTCAAATAGCATTCCAAGTAAGATCAGATTAAAAGCAACTGCGGCAGTGCATGCTAGTGGAACGACAACGGGCTAATGAGGGCAGTGATAGGATCGCTAGGGGGAGTCTTTGAGAATACTGTCAACAATACTTTGGCAGTCGCTCAAAACGACGGCTGTCCTCTTCAGCGTCTAGACACTTGAGCCCTTCCGACTTTAGGAGGACAACTTTTCTCAAACTTCCAGCCTGTCTTTTCTGATTGTGTCGGGAGATAATTCGGTTATAACTATGGCCGTACTGCTGTCCAACAACTGTATATTTGTGCAACTGTTTTCTGCTGAAAAGTAGGGGATGAATCTACACCTCCGAGCCTGAAAAAGCAGCGAATCGGCTGAACTTGACTTACTGACTTAAATTTAAAAAGTCGTCCCCATGTAAATTGTAAGCAACTCGAAAAGATCTTTTTTAGAAATTTTTGCATACGTTGTAAAATAAACGTAACCTCAATACGCAAAAACGAACTTCTGGCGCATGTTGTCAACACTTAGGGAACAAAAGGAGACAGCATTAAGACAGTTGGGAACATCCTTGGCGGTCACTGTGGAAGAAACAATGAAAGGTAAACGATTGTGCTGGCCGAGGTCGTCACCGATGGTAGAACGCGCAGACCACGTAAGGGATAAAAGCCAATTAGAAGGCGAATGTCAGAGAGGTGGAATCCAAAGGGCCACTACTGTTGAGATTATGACTAGGCAAGACCTAACTAGCGGTCTGTCAGCTCGAACGGCTTAAACGTGGCGGGTCTGTCAAGCCCAGTACTGTGTTAAGCAAGATTTGGTAAGGTCGACAGAACGAGGCTGCATGTAGACTAAATAAATGGTCATGAGTCAAACGATTTGTTCTAACCGGTTAAGACCCACGCGGGTGCTATCTCCATGGATTCGCTTTTTAAATACTTCTAGCCAGGTAGAGAAAAATGACCCAACACCTAAAGACAAACGATTAGCCAGGCACACCAGAATAGATCTTTTCAGCTGAATCCCAAAATAGCTTGAAAGTAGACGTTTAACTCCTTTTGGTGACTAAGTTAATCTGATATTTACCCAGTAGTGCAATCTAAAGTGATGGTACTACCCACAAAAAGTGCAAATCTCTCTTTTCTCATCTCATTGAATCGCTTGTATTGTCCTCGGACAACACCCGCTGTGTGATACCTTTATTTCTCGACCACCCGAACTAAACGATGGTTCATTATGGATCCATATGATCGACGGATTTGATATACGGCAAATTTAGCGATTAAGTAATTTATTTACCAGGATGGACTTCAGTATGTCCACCTCCACCGCCAGTCCTCTTCAGCATGCTACAAGACATCATGTGGTCTGACTTTTGTACGAGCAGCTCTGAACCTCCGCTCACCAAGCAATACAGAATAATTAAAGCAATAAAAGGGGTACCTCCACCTCTTCTGGGTTGAGTGTGGCTCAGAACGCTTGGCCAGCATATCTGCATCGGGTACTCATTCATGTCCAGAAAATAGCATCGAGAGACAAAAGCACTGACTGCAGTTTATTCTGCACAATCTATCTTTGACGGGGACACAAACGGCAAGCAGAAATGGTAACGCGCGAGCACTTATATAGACACTCTAATATTACGATAACGCTGTATTCCTAACAGTAAGCAACGTAAACGAGAACGGCACATAATTAGCAAAACAAGGCCTCTTCCATCCGACGCATAAAAACATCAGTATCACGCAGCACCGCAGTCATTGCGGCAGACGACGACATCCAGGAAAGCCAGCTGGTTGTTTTCTCCCTTCCCCATCGTCAATCGCATGTCCGGGAAGACGGCCATGAGACGATATCTGAATGCCAGAACCTGAATTTTTTCGTTGGTGACGAAGGTGTCACCCACACACCGAGCTCAAAGCCCCGTCGTTTCGGAAGACCAGCGACTTGAGCTTTCGCAGCAGCGGTGAGGCGAAATGACACCAGCCCACAAGTGACCCTTCAGTCGACGGGATCGGACTGCCCCTTCAAGTTCTACGGGACCAAAATTATCGCAAGACTTTGCAAATGTGCAAACCGTGAGCCGCTCTAGCCAGGGCTTTTCTGCCCACAGTCAATCAACCAGCGCAGTAGTTTTTACCCTTCCACATTCACTGCGGCCACTTTGTTTGGGTAGAGCGCAGGCGACCTCCGCCTCCGCAGCAAGCCAAACGACCGAGTATTTATCCCGCTAGGGATGAACACCGGTGATGAAAGTGCGGCGGTGAACTATTCGGATGAGGTTTAGAAGGCAATCATCGCATGAAGTACAACCATCAGCGATAACTACAGGAACTACTAATTATGGTTGGTATGTGATGGCAACTGTATCCTTTGTGCGTCTATTGTCGTTGTCAGTAGTGAGTCTCTCTCCTTCGCACTTTTTGTTTTGCCATTACCACACGTATTCAAGTTCTAATATTGAATCAGACATTATAGACCGACGCAGGACATCGAACCACAATGGCATTCAGAAGGACCATTTTACAGGGTGCTCCAGGTAAGCCAGCTAATTCGGACTATTCATTAGCGCTAGGTGTTGCAAGACCCTAATACCGCACTGGCTTATGTGTCATTTCGAAAATGTTACGCAAGTGTCGAAACCCACGAAGCACCCCTGGTAGCACATGTTTCCGTCTTGACGGCTGGACTAAAATGAGATTGAGGGTGTCAAGGCCAAGTCCTAGAGGTCGTGCATCTTTAGTTTTTGACACAACTGATTGGTAATGTGACAACTTTTGTGGCATGGACAGCGTGGATGCGCTGCTTACATAGGCTGAATTACGGAAACAATCGCACGAGCAAACTACTTTTCGTTAAATTTTTCCGGAGTAAGAGTGCACTGAACCACCTGTTGAAACCCCAGCCATTGGCCCCGCCGTTTTTCTGTTGAGATGCAGCCGGATTCAGCGGTTAGTCTCAAGCATTTGCTAAACAGATTGATGAAGGTCTCTTCTTCTGCTACCACAAACAGAATACGTCCCGAACTTCGTGTAACCGTGATCAAGTTTTCCCCACGTGCTT